TTTTTTTTTTTTTGAAAAAATTATAACACACACACAACTGAAAAAATATGAAATTAAAAATAAAAACTTGGGTTGCCTCCCAAGAAGCGCTTGATTTAATGTCGCGGCACGACGTTATTTTTATTTTATTTTCTGTTTTAAGTGGGATCGTGAGCATCCCTTGTTTCATTTTTCTGCCTCTGCCTTTTCCAGTAATGTCGAGATTTCTTTCTCATTACCACCTCAATCGTATATGGTTTTAATTCGCACCGAGGTGACTTTTTAAGTTCTTCTCCTTTCAAAATATATTTTTTTGGCTTAAATTTTATTTCATTAAAAATTAAAATTTTTTCAGTTTCCTCTCCAACAAAAATATTTAGTGTCGGTGATGGTTCAAAAACATTTAAAGAACAAAGAGATTGATCTTTAATTTGTTATTTCGTAGAATCAAAAATGTTGAATTCTACCTTTTGATCATCGAACTCTAAAGTTAATGAACCATTAGACACGTCTATTTTTGTTTTTGCGGTTTTTAGAAAAGGCCTACCCAAGAGGATGGGTGTAGTTTGGTTATCATCTCCCATTTCCAGAACATAAAAATCAACAGGGAAAATCAAATTTTCTACTTCTACTAGCACATCTTCTACTACACCCTTGAGGTAAGTATTAGACCAATCCGCTAGTTGAATCACTACACCAGTTTGATGTAGTGGGCCGAGTTGTAAGGATTTATATAAGGAATAAGGAATGACATTTATTGATGCTCCTAAATCCAACAAGGCCTTTGAAAATACGGTATCCCCTATTTTGCAAGGAATAGTGAACATGCCTGGATCGCTATATTTCTCAGGGAGTTTCTTTTTAAAAATGGCCGAGACACGTTCACTCACTTCAACTTTTTGTTTCCCTTCCAGTTTATTTTTCTTTTTCATTGTGCATAGTTCCTTTAAGAATTTTGCATAACGGGGAACACTTTTGATCAGTTTGAAGAGTGGGATGTTTACCTCAGAATTGACGAACGTTTCATAGATGTCCTGATCATTCTTCAGCTTCCTCGTGTCTTTCAATGCCTCAGGGAATGGAGGGAGTGGTTCATATGATGACAGTGGAGGGAATTTAGTCTTCTTTGGCTTCTCCTCTTCTTGTTGAAATCCTTCTTCAAGATCAACCTCTTGCTTCTCCTCCTCAACTTCCCGTGGTTGCAATTCTTTGCCGTTCCTCAACATGATTGCATTGACATGTTGTCTTGGGTTTTGCTCAGTTTGGGAGGGGAGCCTACCCGAATCTTTTGCTTCAAGTCGACTTACGACATTTGAAATTTGGCTAACTTGAGTTTCCAAATTTTGAATGCTCGACTTGGTTTCATGTTGGAATTGCATCATGGTTTGTTGGAATTGCCCCATGCTTTGCTGCATTGTTCCCATATTAACGGCCAGCGCTCGAATCATGTCTTCGGTGGACATACTCGAGTTCGATGTTTGGCCTTGTGGTTTATATTGTTGAGGAGGAGGATTTGTTTGAGAATTTCCGTACCTTAAACTCGGATGATCCCTCCATCCCGGGTTGTAAGTATTGCCTTGAGGATCGTACCTCCTTTGACCTTGGAACCCCAAAGCATTGACTTGCTCGGACTTCTCTTCTTGTAGCGTTGGGCAAGAATCTGTGGGATGCCCTTGTGTTGAACAGATGCCGCAGACCTTGACTTCTTGTGTTTTTGGATTTAAAAGGAAATCTTTAACCAAAGAAGTCAAGCCGGCTACTTGACTCTCCAACGAGTTGTTGGATTCCGCTGCCATGACTCGTTTCGATGATGACCTTCCGTTGTAATGTCTCGAGTTTTCGGCCAACTCCGAAATGAGGTCTCTTGCTTGAGAAGGGGTTTTGTTAACAATACCCCCTCCGCATGCCGCATTCACCATGTGTCTATCTTGATCAACAAGTCCATCATAGAAGTAGAGGATGAGATCTTGTTCCGAATACCCATGATATGGGCAACTAGCACATAATTTTTTAAAGCGCTCCCAATATTCATACAAGGTCTCATTATCTGCTTGCTCAATGTTGCTGATTTGCTTCTTGAGACTTGAAGAGATAGATGCGGGATAGTACCTGTCAAGGAAGCTCTTTTTCATTTGAGCCCATTTATTGATGCTTCCCGAGGGAAGATAAAATAACCAATCTTTGGCGGTGTCTTTGAGGGAGAATGGGAAGGCTCTCAGCTTGATTTGCTCCTCTAACACGCCATTGGGGCACATGCTTGTGCACACAATATGGAACTCTGACAAGTGCTTATTTGGATCTTCCCCTCGTAGGCCATAGAAAGAGGGAAGTAGGTCAATGAGCCCAGATTTTAGCTCGAATGTGACCCCCGTATCAAGAGTTGGAAAAGTGATACATAAGCGTTGTTGATTTAGATTCGGAGCCGTGAGCTCCCTCAGCGTTCTTGTTTCCAGAGCCATGTGGAAGGACTCTTCGGATTCGCTAGAATGAGAACTAGCACTTGATGATTCCTCCGAAGAAGTATTCGGAAATAGATTCGTGAACCTCTTGAAGGCTTGTTCTGTTTCGGGCTTTGTTTGGTAGGTGATTTGGTTTATAGATCGGTGTTTAACCATATACTCAAACAAAGCTCAGCCAAAATAGAAATATTTTATATATATTTTTTTTAAATTTTCTTGAAATAAAATAAAAAGAAAAATAGTTGCCTTTCCCCGGCAACGGCGCCAAATTTGACGTGCACTTTGTCACGGTGCGTCAAAATAAATTCAATACTAACACTTATACGTAATATAGCGTAGTAGAGTTCGTATCCACAGGGAATAGAATAATTCTCTTTTTATGATATTTAGTAAATAAAAAGGGGGGATTTGGATTGAGTGATTTAATTTAATTAAGAACTAAGATGAACAACCTATATGTGTTTAATTCAAAGATAAAAAGGACTTGGCATTGCTACTTTCCACTTGTTGATATATTTTAGTCGATCATTGTTATATCTATAACTTATTCCCTCTCGAATACTCAATCGGGGAGTATATCCACTTCATCGAGGGTAGTTATTAACAACGACCGTTCATTAATAACCCTTACTATTAATCAAATATAGAACAATGCCTTATACCGATTTAATAGTAGCATTTAATCTTTCTAACTCCTTGATGAAATCAATTGAGATTGATAACCTCAACACAAGCGGTTTCGGTGTAACCAACAAAATTAATCCCTCTTAAGTTTATTAACCACGACCGTGCATTAATAAACCGAAGTTACTTACTTGTGAAACCATCAACGATTAACCATCGGTTTGTTGATCGTTTCTAGTAATAATTAATATATGAAACAAAACTAGTTGATCCTTTAAGTAATGTTCAAAATATTAATATGAAATAAGAGTAGGAATTAATTAATATTCAAGGAAGAATATTATTAAAGAAGATGAATCCTACTATAATTAATATCAAGATGTTAACTAATTGTCATCTTAGCAACACTCCCCAACATTAATATAGAGGAAGAAAATATCATTCTAACTAATGTCGAGATGTTAACTAATTGTCATCTTAGCAACACTCCCCAACATTAATATAGAGATGGTATTAAGGAAAGAACTATTAATTAATATTCAAGGAAAGAAGTTAAGAAAATAACTCACAACTTTAATAATCAACAAGCTTCAAGAGCAACACCAAGAATTGAAGTTTAGCTCCTCATTTGGAGACTAAACATAGCTAGAAAATATAAAGAAATGCTATTCTAAACTGAGCTTAAGAGTATGGAAGAAGGGATGATTTTTAGAGAAGAAAAAGTGTGCTATTTATAGGTGTTTTTCAACACCTTTGGCCGGTACCCGACCGGGTCAAGTACTCACCCGACCGGGGTACCGGTCAAAATCAGATAATCTTCCACGTTTGTGTGTTCTAGCACGTTAAATTTTCCCGGGTCAAGTCAGACCCGACCGGGTCAAGTAAGGGACCCGACCGGGTTTGGTCTAAATCAGATTTTGCCAAATCTTTGTGATCTTCAGCATGTTCTGGTGTTCCGGGTCATATCTGACCCGACCGGGTCAAGTAAGGGACCCGACCGGGTCTTACTTTTTCTTCTTAGATCCGGTCTTCAACTGACCCGACCGGGTTCAAGGTCTGACCCGGTCGGGTTTTTGTGCTCCTGGGTCTTTTTGTCTTCAGTTTTTCTCCCCTTTTCCTTGCTACAAACTCTATCACTACTCTATAACTACGAAAAGAAGGAGAAAGCAATTACAAACAAAATAAAACAAGTACTTACAAACTAACTAAAAGCGGTGAAAATCCACACCCAATCAACATAAAAACATACATTTATGCACTATAAACTAGTGCATATCATTCCCCAACTTGTTTAACATAGTGCTTAGGTTTCCAAATGGATTGAAACCATCAGCAGCTAGAGCAAGTCTAACATTTCTAGGATCATTTGCAATCCAGGGAAACGTACTGTCAAGGTCTTTCCATGCGGCAGAATCACCGGGATGTCTCGTATAATCATCTTCAATGCGTTTTTCCTTGTGCCATACCATCTTTTTAGATGTTTTCTGAGACATAAAAAGGCGTTGCAGCCTAGGTTTCAATGGAAAGTACCTTAGAATTTTATGTGGTACCTTATTAAGTGCACCATCATTATTTTTCCATCTAGAAGTTCCACAAATCGGGCAACTATCCAAATATTGATTTTCCCTCCAGAAAAGAGCACAATCATACTTACAAGCGTGGATGCATTCATAACCCAACCCCAAGTCGCGCAACATCTTTTTAGCCTCAAAGTAAGAATATGGGAGTGTCTCACCGTCAGGGAAAGATGACTTCACCAATTTCAAAATCATATCCATAGCTTTATTGCTTAACTTATTGTAATTTGTACACTTAAATGTGTAGTAATTGTATGATGAAGGATAACCTTGAAATTGTTTTGCAACCAGGATATAATTCTGTTTGAGCATTATTCATCAATGCCTCGAGATATACCGGAGGACTACTAGTATTGGTTTGGTTTCCAACAAATGTATTATCACCACCATGTTGATTATATTGCTGGCCAAGGTCGAATAACATATCAATAACACCATCATCTTCTTCATCAATAGTTTCTTCGGAGTCGCTACTACTTGCATCCCCTCTACTCGTATGTGGAGTCCCAAATATTCGTGAACTTGATGCTTCCCCATGATAAAACCATGTAGTGTACCCAGGATCGATTCCAGACTCCAAAAGATGAATTTTAACTATATTCTTATCTTGAACTTTGAGGTTCAAACAGCCTTTGCAAGGACATCTTATTTCTCCCTCTCGACCATTAAAGTTTTCAACAAATTTCATAAAAGAGTTCACTCCATCTATATAAGCAGTGGACCATTTAATTGCATGGATCCAACTCTTGTCCATTTGTATCCCACCTGGTATATAAGAAAATATTGAAAGATCAACCAAGTTGAGAATTAGAACCCATATTTAACTTAGACTTCTAATTTATTTAGATCATATAAGCTTAGTAAATATCCTGATAGTTGTTTTTGTTACTTTTCTAGTAAATACCTCTACTCTCTGTATGCCTCCATTAAACCAATAATTACTCTCTAGATTTTGGTTAAAGATAAACCAATAATTATCCAATTTAATCTACGAGTTTACAATTCACTTGATTCAGACTTTTCAATCATTTATATAAAAGACACTAACCTCTTGAAGCTCCTCGAGAATTAAAAATAATCTCCTGTCGATAGAGTCTCACAGCTTCTTCGAGTCTCCGCCAGTCACTAAAGTCCAGCACTATTGCTCAAACGTTTTCTATATTTTGCTAAAACTTCAAACTATGAGGAATTTACATTTATCGTCATCAAAGTATAACATAAATGACAAAATAATATTGTCACTTTTTATATAAACAATAAATGACAACAATGATTATGTCATTATAATTAGATATTATGTGACACAAGTCATCGTCATTGATTTAAATTTTTCTTAATATTTCATCAAAAAACTTCTCTGCAATTATATGATAAAAACAGGAACATATCTAGCTCCATTATCACTACCAGTTATGAAAGTTCCTTTCTTCCTTAAGATTAGTGAAATACTCAAGAGCAAATTATTGTCCTCTGTTCAATGTGTAAGGAAATAAAAAACAAATATAGTGATATTGTTTATATATTATATACGTTTCAATTAAGGAATGTCATTCATGTCTTATTTTAGAACCTTATATATTTCAAACAATACATATTCATTGGACAAAATTCCGACAAAAATACAACTTTGAATTGATTTATTGATTGTCTAACAAAATGAAATTCTTGGAGAAGTTAAGTATGAATCTTCTTTTGAGTCATAGATAAAGATTAGAATCCTTTGTTTATGTAAACAATAGCTCTGTATACATGATAGTATGCATCAGCTAGATTCAAAATATTTGGAAGGCACAACAAGGTGGATTAGTTTGTTTTAAGTATTTAGTTTGTACTCTGTAGTATATATACAACAAGTAAATCAAGGATTTGTATTACTTCTACTAAGAATCACCCTCAATAATGATACAAATTAAGGCAAGAAATCATATAATTTAAGCTACACTTATTTGAAAAGTATTTTCGCAGGAATTAAGGCAACAATTGAATGGAAAGACAACATATATCATAAACACTCATATAACCCGTTCAAATTCCTTCGGAATTCAAATATAATGCACTCACCTTCGCCTAGATCATTCTTTGAAGCTACTGTGAGTCGCCGCCGATCGCCGACACTGGTGTAGTCCCTGCCGTCGCAATCGCTGTCTTCCGCAAATGAAGTTGCCGCCGGTGCCCGATCTCTCACACCGGTGCAGTCTCTACCCCCGTCACAATTGTTGTCTGTCGCAGATGGAGGATCCTCGGTTGATGCCAAAAGAAGATACGTTTTGGTTACGACTCTATGTGGATAGTGTATTCGTCACTATTGGAGAAGAATTGATTTTAATATTTTTTATTTAATAATAAGTATCTTAATTCCAAACCTGCTGAAAAATAAAAGCAAAGAAAATCACATACCTATTATTATTATTAGGGCACTGTTGGAAGTATGCCCTAGGACAATCATACTTTATGATTTATCAATGAATATTTAATGCTCATTAATTAATAAAGTCACAAACTCATTTTATGTTAATTATTATTGTGAGTTTTCTTTATTAATATTTAGTCCCTGAATATTATGTTTAGTAGCTAATTAAGTACGTGACTTAATTTTGGAATGCTACACTTTAAAATAAGCATAATATTCTAATTGTCCATGGTCTAATATTATTAATCTGGGACATTAATAATTAATAAGACCATTATGTGGATTAACTGATGACTATATTCCACTAGTCATGAGTACAGAGATATCAAGTTAATAACATAGATGCTTGTTAGTGAACAAGTTCATTGGACAGACCCAACTTGAGGACACTGCTAGGTTATATGTCATCAGTGTTGTCCTCAATAATGATGAGGTGCTATATTCTTATACTTGAGATAATCATGGTTACTTGCATGCGAATTAATATGTATTAACACCATTAAATATTATTTTTAAATGGGTAATTATAAAGGTGTTGATTGTACATATTATGAATCATGTAGTGGTATGTGAATTATCAAGATAGTTTTTGTCACTCTCGTATAGCGAGAGAAAGATATCTATTGGGCCCCTTGACAAGTAAGATTAATTAGCATGGCCATGCTCAAATGAGGTGTCATTTGTTCAAAATTAATCTTACTTGGTAATCAAGAAATATTAATTGAGAATAACAAGGATGACATGACCTAACCTTGTCTCAATTAAGATATCGTTTGACAAAAGAGAATTATTAGCAAAAATTAATCATTAAAGGTTATGTCAGATTTAATTGACATTTATATATTTTGGATAGTCATAATGCCTTGCTAGAGGCCGCTTATGATTTGTGAGGCTTGAATTAATTTTTTAGCCCACTGCCAATAATATATAAACCTACAGGGTCACACACCTAAGTGATTTGGATCATTAATGTTCGTTAATAGCATTAAAATAGCCTGATTAGCCCAATTCGAAATAGGGTTTCGAATGGTATTGGGCTAGGGCCTCTTGGAGGGTTTTATTAGCTATAAAACTCCTTCTTTCCTCCTCTTATAAATAGGGCTATATAGACCCACGAATTTTAAGAGTTAAAATTCACTTCTAAAACCTAGAGTAGAGAGGAAGAAAGAAGAGAACGCTAGCACGTTCCCTGCGGCCGATCCAATCACGTGCGTGTGGATACCGGTAGAGCTCGGGATCGTTTTCTCGGACTGTCTGACATCCTTGATTAAGATTGCTATGTAAGTCCCTCTTATATCTTGTAATTTCGTTTATAGTAAGAACCTCAGATCCGGTTGTTTACTTTTGGGCAGTATTTTTTTTTATTCCGCTGCGTTTTTCTGCCCGAAACCCAACAGTGGTATCAGAGCCTACGGTTCTTTATTATATTCGGGTTACCTGATTTAATATATAATCAGTAATTTGATTATTTTGGGATTTTTCGGAATTAATTTTTATTAATTTCGGAATTTGTTTTTTTTATTAATTTCGGAATTTATGTGTATTTATATTCTGAATTTTTGGTAAGGATGTGATATTCGAATATTTCGAATTTGATCCAATATATATTCACAATTATATTTGGAATATTTTGTGATATTATTTATTATTTTTCGGATCTGATCTGAATGGAATTAGGAATTGGATAAAATCCTACAGCCTAATTATTCGGAAGAGATCTAAATGGACATGAAAGTTCAATAGTTTGAATTGGATCCGAATTGATACTCATAATTTATGTTAAGAATATTTTATGATATTGTTTATTATTTTTCGAATCAGATCTGAATGGAATTAGGAATTGGATAAAATCCTACAGCCTAATTATTCGGAAGAGATCTGAATGGACATGAAAGTTCAATAGTTTGAATTGGATCCGAATTGATACTCATAATTTATGTTAAGAATATTTTATGATATTATTTATTATTTTTCGGACCAGATCTGAATGGAATTAGGAATTGGATAAAATCCTACTGCCTAATTATTCGGAACAGATCTGAGTGGATATCAAAAATTCAGTTTTTTTTAATCAGATTTGGTTCAGAATATTATTTTAGTTTTAGGAGATTTGGTTTCTAATTTTTCGGATGAGATCCGAATTATTTTGGCAACCGCCGGCTAATGAGCTGTTTTTGTGGATCGGACAATCTTGTTTTGGCCGTAACTTTTGACTCGTTAATCCATTTCCGACCCATAAGTACTTTTCAGAAACGGGAAGACGAGCTCTACACAAATAAAGGCAAAGCCGTGACAAATCTCCCATATTATAATTCGAATGATTTGATCAAGTGCTCTGCCAAATTCGAATTTAAGTTCATTATATTTTATTCGTATTTATATATGTGTACTGATCTATATTACGGATATGATCTGTACATGTGTATATATAATACGAATTATTTTAGAATTCATTAATATGTATGTTTATTTTTCGGATGAGATCCAAATTAATTACATATTACTTGCGGATTTTAAAATTTAATTTTCAATCCGTGCATGCGCAATTATTTTGTTTCGTCACAGGACAGATTGAATTGGTGGTATAGCATGATCCGGATGTATGTTTTATATTATGTTGTTTTACGGCCTGCGTGTCGTTATTCCGAATATCCCCTGTAATATTTTCAACCCCGTAGATATTTAGTAGTCTACTGCACATGTTGAAGATGCTAAGGAGATATGAAGTATTAGGGGTCATGCTATATCACTACACTAGTTTTAAATTATTTATTTAAATCTATGATTGCTGCATGTGTTTAATAATTAGTCCCTATTAATTATAAGTCTAAATTGCTTTCCCAATATGACCACCATTTATACTATGTTAGTCGTGTTATGTGTCTGTCAAAGCAGAGCATTTCACACTATCTTAGGAAGATGTTTTGAATGATCGTCATTCTCGGGTCTTAATATTGGTTTGGACTTACAAGGCCATCAAAATGGTTTTGGGCCTTGAAGCAAGGAGTGTTTGGATAATCATATGATGGTGACCAAACAAACCAAGAGTCGTATAGGATATGATTAACAAGAGTTGTTTACCTAAATAACTAATGTTTAAGTGATAAGCCAAAGCTTACTTAAATTTTAGTGAAATATGGATCTTGGACCACTATATTTGGTGGGACTTTCTATTTAATATAGTGGGAGTTATTTTGAGCATTATTTAAAATTCTTTGCATTATTTGTTGTAGTTAATATGGCCACCAACACAATTTTTTCACTGCGATCAATTCTTGAGAAGGAAAAACTTAATGGAACAAATTACATGGACTGGGATAGGAATCTGAGAATTGTTCTCAGGTAAGAGCGTAAAGAATATGTCCTTGACCAACCAATTCTTGCTGAACCAGCGGCCAATGCTCCTAGAGCCACTAGAGATGCTTATGAAAGGCATGTCCGTGATGAAGTTGATGTCACTTGTCTGATGTTAACCATCATGGAAGCTAATCTTCAGAAACAGTTTCTGAATCGTCGTGCACATGACATCTCTAATGAACTCAAGAACTTGTTTCAGAAACAAGCACGGATCGAAAGGTTTGAGACAACCAAGGCTTTGTTTCACACAAGGCTTACTGATGGGAGCCCAGTTGGACCTCACGTACTCAAGATGATTGGGTATAGGGACCACTTGGAAAGACTTGGATCTCTAATTAGTCAAGAGTTGGCTACTGATGTGATTATCGCATCACTCACCCCGGCATATGACCAGTTCATCCTGAACTATAATATGCATGGTCTTGAGAAGACCTTAACCGAATTGCATGGAATCCTCAACTCTGCTGAGCAAAACATCAAGAAAAATCGGAGTGACGTTTTGATGATCAAAAAGGGAAAGGGATTCAAGAAGCCTAGAAAAGGCAAGGTTGGTGGAAACAAGAAATCCAAAACTCTGGTTAAGAACTCGAGTAAAGGCAAATCTGTTGCCAGCTCTACTTCTAAAGAAGAGCAAAAATGTTTCCACTGCAACAAAACCGGTCATTGGAAGCGGAATTGCAAGGCGTATTTGGAAGAACTGAAAAGAAAGGGGCATGGTGATGCTTCCAATTCAGGTATCTATGTGATAGAAGTAAATGTTACTACTACTACTTTATGGGTATTAGATACCGGTTGTGGTTCTCACATTTGTTCAAATGTGCAGGGACTGACAAGGAGTAGAAGGATGGCTAAAGGTGAAGTTGACCTACGAGTAGGCAACGGTGCAAAAGTTGCAGCATTAGCAATAGGAACATTTACTTTAAGTTTTCCCACGGGCTTAGTTTTAGAACTTGATAATTGTTATCATGTACCTGCCATTAGTAGGAATATAATTTCTGTTTCTTGTTTGGACAAGAAAGAATTTCATTTTATAATAAAGGACAACACTTGTTCTATTTATTTTAATGAGATCTTTTATGGTAGTGCTAGTCTTATAAATGGACTTTATGTTCTAGACCTTGAAATGCCCATCTATCACATAAATACAAAAAGGTTTAAATCTAACAACTCAAACCCAACATACCTTTGGCATTGTAGACAAGGACATATAAATGAGAAGCACATTAAAAGACTCCATTCTAGTGGATTTCTTGACTCTTTTGATTTTGAATCAATCGAGGAGTGTGAATCTTGTTTATTAGGTAAAATGGACAAGTCACCATTTACTGGTAAAGGTGAAAGAGCTCACGGTTTATTGGATCTCATACACTCGGATGTATGTGGCCCAATGTCAACAATGGCCAGGGGAG